TTTTTTTTTTTCAAAAAGTATGGGAAAAATGTTCCAAAATTATCACTTTTACTCTTTTAATATAAAAATATAAAAATAATCTCATAAAAAATCTAAAAAATTCTTTTAAAAAAATAACTTAACAAGCAAACAGCCCCTTGGTATTTACTATCAAAATTTCCCGACCAGCTTTCGCTTACTTCGGTTTCCAATCTTTAATTAAAGAGTAAAGGTAAAGAGGACATGAAAATTTAAAATTAATGACATAGTATAAATTATGTTATTAAATTAATTAGTACATATAATATTGTGATTTTAAAAAATAAAAAGAATCAATTATTAAATAATATAACTTATATCATGTCATTGATTCTAAATTTTTGTCCCAAATTTTCATCTCATTTATAATTGAATTGAGATTGGCTAATTTTGAGCAGAGGACCATTTGGCTGCAATGCATACAGAAAATGTTTTAAAACCCAAACAAGAGGTCAACTTGTTTTGACCTGTGATTCTAGTTAGATCGGTTAAATTAGTTAAACTACACAATTTGACTAGATAATGTCATAAATAATTTTTTATAAATTATATATAATAAATAAAATATTATGCAAGATAAATACAACAACACTTAATGGCTAGATGATAGAGGCACTCTTTAATAATTGATGAGTTGAGTTGAGAGTTTAAGACATTTTGATAGTAATTTTACCCTTATAATAAATAATATTTTACACAAAACATACCATTAATAGCCATACTGTAGCAAACCACTTGAATTTCTAAATTGAGAATAAGAGTTGGAAACCCAAGAATAAAATTCATTTTTATTTAAGAAGAAATGGATTAAGATGTTACTGGATTTTGAACTACCCTCAATTTTGATTAATAGGTTATGTACAATATTATTTATTATAATTTAAATGATATAAAGGTAAAAAATTGACATTGAAGTATCTCAAGCTCTTAATTCATTGATCTTTAAAGTGTATTTTACCATCCAATTACCAGGTATTATTATGTTTACTTTACATAATATTTTATTTATTACGTATAATTTATGAAAAGTTATTTATAATATCATTTAATCAAACCATATAATTTGAACGGTTTATTTCGGTTCAGTAATATTGAATTTTAGGTTAGGATCGTTTATCCCTTATAAATTATGTGTTCGAATCACACAGAATTTCTTTCCTTATTCTTTTAATTAATATGTAAATAATTGTAATATATTCAAAACAAAATCAAACCATATAATTTAATTAATTTAACTGATCCAATCAAAACCAAAAGTCAAAACGAGTTAACCACTTATTCGGGTTTAAAAACATTGGTTCGAAGCCAATGGGCCATCGACATCGACGATTCATTTCATTCGGGTTTTTCCCATTAAGCCGATTTCAATTGTGTCGGACCAAGTCCATAAAACAATTTTTTGTTTTTCACATTTCCATTCAAAAAATTCTTAAGCGCGGATTGACGAAATTTTTGGAATCGGAAAAATGGGATTCTAAGGGTGATGTTGAAGAGAGGACGAGCTTTGAGTGTCAACAGTTGGCTCCAGTAAGAAATCCATGCATTCCAAAGAGAATTGCAGAAACGACCTCCGAACTGCGGTCATTCAACTCAGCGATCGCTGCCTCTACTCTGCTTCCAAATGGTACCACCTTTCCATAAACCCTAACCCCCTAATTTCTATCCCCTTGATTACATCCAACTTCTTAGTTTTGGGTATGCTTAGATATTGCCAATGGTCTCGAAGCCATTGTCAAGTTTGTATCTTTGACTTGCTGCTCTCTTTTATTCTAGTTTTCTTGGAAATGAAGCTCAAGTGGTTTAGTATTTAGAAGAAGAGGAAAATACCTTTAGAAAAGATGTCAATAATAACGTAATAAGTTGCGCTTCTGCCAAATTTACTCTTCTTTCAACATGTTTAAGTAATGATAAAGTTCCATTCTTTAGGATTTATTAGCTTAATGAGGCGGAAGATTGACAGAATTGTCATCAAAATTTCTGCAAATTTTTTTTTTCTTTTTGTTTGTAGAAGAGTGCTTTATCTCTGTTAGGTCTTGTGGGTGATGAATTTTAATGGGTTTGGCCAAAAAGACAAATAGATAATGGGTTTTTATATACAGGGCGGCAGAGCAGCTTGTGGGGATTGAGCAAGACCCAGTAAAGTTCACAACTTCAAACACAAGGTTCCAGCATGGGAGTTCGAGCATCCAGAGAAGATTCCGCATCAATGAGTTGACTTCTACACCGGCCACTGGTGTGTCTTATGTATCCACTCCAGTAATGGAAGACAATGAGGTGGTGAATGGTGATTTCTATCTTCTAGCAAAATCGTACTTTGACTGCTGAGAGTATAAAAGGGCTTTTCATGCCCTTCGTGAGCAAACTGGGAAGGAATCGGTCTTCCTGCACTGTTATGCTCTTTATCTGGTTAGTTAGTTTTATGCTCGTTTCCCTTATCACATACTTTTACATTGTATACTTTGTGCTTATTACTATTCATTAGTTATGGCATAATAGCTACACTTATGATTGGGAGCTTCTTATGGTTCTTTTGTTTGTCAGAATGTGCTTCTCTGTATATGTTAATTAAGAAGAACATTGTAATTATATTTGTTTGAAGGAAAGAAGACTTCCACAAGTTTGGTGGAATATTATGGTACATCTTGTCATGGTGGAGAGTCTTTTGAGTTGTTAATGAAGATGATTGTTAGTGTTCATCAGGTAATGCAAACAGAAATAGAAGAAATGAGGAAAATAATCATAATGGTGTGCTTTTTCTGAACACAGATCTAGACCATGGTGAAAAAAGTTTATAGTCTTTGTGCTTTATAGGATCCTTTTCCTTTATCAAGCAAAGAGAGTGAAGCTCAAGTCATTTATGTTTACCTTTTTTGTATTCTTGCCCTCTTCTTTGCTTGCATTGTATAAGTTTGATAACAAACTTACAGAACTGATGAGCAATTTTGGACTCCTAACTCCTAAGCCTAGATAGTGGCAGTTTCACAGTTTTGGCCCATCGGAAGTTTTCTAGTTGATGGTGTTGTGTGATGCTTATTTCAACTTTGCTTGGTGAAAATTATGAAACATTTATTGGTTGCATTCTGTCTATGAGGTTACTTCCTCAAGGATATCTACCTGACATAAGGATCATATGGTGTAATCAAGTTTTTGCTACATTTTAGAATCTCTATTTTCTATTGATTTTACACTATTTTATTGCATCATGAAATCTGGAGAAAAGTGGAGGGGAGAAGAGATGATAGAACTTGAGGGACCCTTAGGTAAGAGCTATGCTGTCAATTGTTAACTGGTTTCTCTAGAGAGGGAGTTATCTATGCTTCGCAAGAATGGAATGCTTGATTCCTTCAGGTTGTACTTGTTTGGTCTTGTCCTTAAAGAGAAAGGCAATGAAAATCTTGCTCATACAGTTCTTTTTTATTCTGTGAACAGTTACCCTTGGAATTGGAGTGCCTGGTTAGAGTTGCGGTCTTTATGCACTACTATTGATATTGTGAACAACCTTAATCTCAGTAATCACTAGATGATGGAGTTCTTTCTTGCCAGTGCTTATCCAGAGCTAAGGATGCATAATGAGTCATTAGCAAAATACGAACACTCACAGGGCATTTTTGGTTTTAGTAATTATATACAGGCTCAAATTGCAAAAGTTCAGTACAGTTTCAGGGAATTTGAACAAGTTGAACTGATATTTGAAGAGCTTTTAAGGACTGATCCCTTTTGAGTGGAAGACATGGATGTATATTCCAATGTGCTCTACACGAAGGAATGTTTCTCTGCCTTAAGCTATCTTGCTCACAGGGTTATTTTGACTGATAAGTGCGGGCCTGAAACTTGCTGTATTATTGGGAACTATTACAGTTTGAATGGGCAACACGAGAAGTCAGTTATGTATTTTAAGAGAGCACTCAAATTAAACAAAAATTATTTATCTGCTTGGACTCTTATGGGTCATGAGTATGTTGAGATGAAAAACATTCCAGCTGCAGTTGATGCCTATCATTGTGTTGTAGACATAGTCCTCATGATTATTGAGCATGGTATGGATTAGGACAAACATATGAGATGATGGGAACGCCATTCTATGCTCTACACTATTTTCGAAAGTCTGTTTTTTTGCAACCAAATGATTCTCGGTTATGGATAGCCATGGCTCAATGTTGTGAAACTGAACAGCTGCACATGGTTGAGGAGGCAATCAAGTGTTACAGAAGAGCAGCAAACTGTAATGACAGGGAAGCAATTGCCCTGCACCAACTAGCAAAGTTATATAAAGAACTTGGTTGTTCTGATGAGGCAGCATTCTACTACAAGAAGGACTTAGAGAGAGAGGATGGAAACTGAGGATAGAGAAGGACCTAACATGGTTGAAGCTCTGATGTTTCTTGCACAACACTACAAAGCCCACAACAGATATGAGAAGTCAGAGGTGTATTGCACTCGCCTTCTTGATTACACTGGCCCAGTAAGTTTTTATTGCTTCTCATTTTGTATATAGCTCAAAATTACCTGCTTAACAAATTTCTCTGATATGTCCAGATATTGAAATTAGTCTTGTTAATTTTATACTGCTCTATCCATGACTGATAACTGCAGGAGAGAGAAACAGCAAAGAGTTTGCTTCGAGGAACGAGAATGGATCAATCTGGCTTTGCTTCAATGCATGTTGAACGTTTTCTTCCATGATCACCCCTACTTGATTAATCTTTGACGATTGTTTGAAGCAGGTATGCTTTTCCCCCTTGGACCATGGAAATCAGAGGTCAGTAACCTGTGCTGGGATATCTCAAAATTATATGGCGAGCATGTCTTGGTCAATAGAGTGGTACAGAGTCAACTCTTGAATCTTCTGAGTCATGTTAAAGGTTGGTTACCTGTTTATACCAAAAAAAGTTTTCCTCTCTTTTTTTTTTTTGGACCGAGTGTTGTATCTTAGCATTACAAGTCTGCTACCAAAACGTTGGGCACATAAGACAGTATAAACGTTCCAAAGCAAGGATAGTTTTTCACTATTTATCAATGTAATATCAGGCCTGGTAAGCTTATACCAACTCCCAAGGGCTATTTGCAAGGCTCTTAATGGCCTGGTGACTGGAAATCAAGAAGTAAAGTTCCCCTTTTAGTTGCCAGTGTTTAAGTCTTGGTAGTTGCAAGTCTCACTAGTCTCCTCCAGAAGATAAGAACTCCCAAAGGTTATTGCCTGCTCTAATCCAGCCTCGGTCAATGGGTGGCGTGGTGAGGCCGCACCACAAGCATGACAGACTGAATTTGCTTTGCACTGTAAAAGGAAAAGGTCGAACTTGCTTTGCCTTCATTTCTGGTTATGAATGTTGGGCAGATTACACTACTTTCAATCATTGATGGAAGGCTGGACCTTCAATATCAAGAGACCCACTTCCTCTATTTATACTGACTGAACTTCACTTTTCTGTTTATTAAATCACTATTTTGTTCGACTGGATGGTTGTTTAATTTCTTTTGTGACTTTAATTTTTCCTAAAGGTCGTTCTAGGTTGATAAGGGACAAAAATTGCTACTCTAGTTAAGGCAATATAAGTAATGCCTTCCAGGTCTAGACTTTGGAAGATACCAAATACAAAGAACTTTGTTAATGGTAACCATCACTTTTCTACCAAATTCTCAAGTATCAGTTATCACTTGAAAACCCCATTTCCGGACGGTAATCAAACAGGCCTCTAGTGTATCATTCCGATTCCAAAAGTTATACTCCTTTACCATCAGGAGCAGCATTTAATGAAAACTACCTAGGTAACTCACAATTTACGTCACACCAGAAACACTCCTTTCAAGTGTAAGTTTCATTCTAAATAATCACTGACAAGAAACCGTAATCTGACCAGTGAAAGTCTAGACATCCCTAATCCAACTCCTACAGGAGACAAAATCTTTGAGAGTCTACACCTGATCCAGCTAAATTACTCCCTCAGAGAAATGCATATAAAGCAAATATAAAACAACACCAGTTTTCACTCAAATGCATAGTAACATTGAAGGGTGTAACAATATGAAAGGTTAATAGAGGTTTCTAACAACTTAGGAAGAACCTTATTTCCAGTTCAACCCTATCAACTAAAAGCAAACACAACCTTTTCATGACAAAAGGCATGACTTCAAATGTACCCAAATGAAAATACATGACTCTTAAGCAGTTCAAGCCTTGCTTGGGTCTGTGAAGAAGCTATTGATGGATGGCATGATTTCAGGAGACTTGTTGCGAACATACTTCCTCAGGAAATGCTCAGAATACTTTTCGCCCTCAGCAAAGTTCTCCAGAACCCCTGCAGCCCTATTCTCCTTGTTAACCCTGATTCAATATCAACCAAACACACTTAACAGAAAATTTTAAACATAAAAAGTCCTAACCCTCAACACCCAAATCCACATAAAACCGTTAAAAAACCAAGTTCAAGAAAAGGGACCATCAAACAGAACAAGGGTCTGGGATTGCTGTCCATTGATGTGCTCCTCAAATTTTGATAATTACATTTTAAGAAGAAATTATTCGTCTGTATGGTAAAATATACAAAGATTAATTAAAATCAATTTAGTACCATAACAAGTAAGATCTCTCTTTTGCAATTCAGACTACAAAACAAGGAACATTGGAAAGGAGCACAGCCCTCAATATCAGGGACCCGCCAACCATTCAATGGTTTATGTTCTGCAATCCAAACCACACAACAATTTTTTTCTTTTTTTTTGTTACAACAAACTAAAATTTTATCCTAGTACAGGAACTCAGCACCTAAAATTCATCATCAAGATTCAAGATTACTCATTGATCCATCCCCAGAAATCAAATTTAGATCTCAAAACGGCTATATTGGATCTCAAACAAAACACCAATAAGGAAAAACTATAGATGAAATTTAACGATTCAATTAGCCAAAAAGGGAGGAAAAGAAAGATAGTAGACCTGACTTCAGGGTTGATGCAGATATTTCGCACTAACTGCACTCCACAAATCCCTATAGCTACACCGACGGCCGCGAACAGCGGATACACCTATAAACACCACCGTACAAAGAAGCATTAAAGATCGAAGTCAGTAGAAGAGTCAGCAGAATCAACGGAGCCAGATGATAGAAAGCAAGAATACAGGGTGGATCTGCAATTACCTCAGGCCTCAACCACCTGTTCGCCATTGAATCAAAGAGAGAGAGCTTGGAATTGCAGGGAAATGAAAAGAGGGGAAAGAGAGATGGAAAATGGAGACTTTAACTGACTAGGGCACGTTCTTTTTTGAATATTTAATTAACGTGATTGAACCTGATTTGGCTGGCATAAATTGCCAAGTTGCAAGAGAGGTGGCCAATAACTGCACGAAAAGTGGACCGGCCAACTGCAGCGGATGATTTTGTTACCCTTTAAATTATTAATTTTATATTTTTTTTATTTTAATTGATTTTTATTTTTTTAATTTATTAAAAAATAAAAAATATATAAATTAAAAAAATATGATGTAAAAATATAATAAATAATTATATTAAAAAAATATGATATTAATAATTTAAAATATGAGAATACTCCCATCCGACCGACTGATGTACTTCCCAATGAACCGCGTTGTTGTTGGTTTTTTATTTGTTGAGCTTGTCTAACGAATTAGGTTAAAAAATAT